GGCAGAATTGAAGATTTCCTATGGAAAATCTTATTCAGCCAGGCTAAATTGGAGATTTCCTATGAAAAATCTTATTCAGCCTGGCTGAATTGAAGATTTCCTATAGAAACCTTAATTCAGTCAGGCTGAATTGAAGATTTCCTGTAGAAACAGTACAAAATTTTATTCTTTTTTCACTTACTTAAATTCGATCTATTGCGATATATTGTCTTGGTTAACATCATTGGTTTTACAATCTCGTGGGTAATTTTGTTGAGAGGCAGACGTAAAGCCATTTTTGTTGTTGTTTACACTTTTTATTGATTTCAATATAATTTCCACTAGAAATCAAAGAAATTGATTTATTTGTGAGAAAAAAATTACAAGGAAGAGCAATTACCGTAAAATTTTGCAGTTTTCTTTTCCAAAATATAATTGGCACAGACAATTTCGTTTGTACTTCGATAAATGAAAAATTTAAAAATATTTTAAATTTGTTTCCGAATTAATTTTCCAAGTAGACTTGATAGAAACTTCCACTCCAACAACATTATGCACAAGTAGGTAAATTTGGGAAAAGTACTGACTGGCTGACTGACTGGAAATAGGGTTGTACTGGAGAAAGCATATCTGGTATAACGATTTAGTTGCAATTTTCTGAAATCGAAAATTAAAATTCGGCTGATTGAAATTAATTTTTTATATAGAAATATATTTTTGCGGATTTGTATGAATAAAAGTTTCTCTATATAAAAATATTCAGACGTGCTGAATTCAATTCATATATCCGAGGTTCCTTATCAAAATTCAAACAACAATTTTTGTTTTTTTTAATCCATTTCATTTTATTTACCACAAAAGATTTATTTATTTTTTCGTAATTTTTATTAGGCATATATTTTTGTTTATAGTAAGTAGTATAATAAAAGTAGTAGTAAAGTATTACAATGCTACAACATAACCTATAAATTTCATCATTCTATCGATTTAAGCTTCTTCTTTTTGTGTTTACTCAAGTTGTTTTTAAATATATAAAATAAATTAATACATATATGTATACTGCTTGGCTGAATAGAAATGATAATGGAATATTCAGCTAAAAAAATTAGGACTTTTAAAAATGTATAAAAGATCTGGAAATTGAAAATTAATTCTGAATCCTTAGAATAAAATTAAAACTCACACAAAAATTGTTTTTTTAAACGGCAATTTTTTCATAACCTTCACAAATTCTGTTTTGCCTAAAAGTATGCTACAATTTTCTTTACAAATAAACCATCACGAACAGAAAGAAAAATTGCTGTTTTTAATAAATCAATTTTTGTATGGTTTTATCATTTACAGGTAATAGGTGCCCAGTATCGAACAGCATATATATTTCGGAACATCGTTGAATTCAAATGCAACTAACTCAGCGACTACTTAACCGATGTTCATAAATCGCGCACAAATGGTTCGGGGGAATTCTAAAGTTGTATGACATTTTGCCAATACATACACGTATATATAAGCAAAAAGTTAGCATTATGTCAACGTTCAAAGATATTTTAAATATCGACTAATTTTTTTGGCTCAATTAGCCAGTCTGCATTGAAGATTTCCTATAGAAAATCTTATTCAGCCAGGCTGAATTGAAGATTTCCTATAGAAACCTTAATTCAGCCAGGCTGAATTGAAGATTTCCTATAGAAACCTTAATTCAGCCAGGCTGAATTGAAGATTTCCTATAGAAACCTTAATTCAGCCAGGCTGAATTGAAGATTTCCTATAGAAACCTTAATTCAGCCAGGCTGAATTGAAGATTTCCTATAGAAACCTTAATTCAGCCAGGCTGAATTGAAGATTTCCTATATAAACCTTAATTCAGCCAGGCTGAATTGAAGATTTCCTATAGAAACCTTAATTCAGCCAGGCTGAATTGAAGATTTCCTATAGAAACCTTAATTCAGCCAGGCTGAATTGAAGATTTCCTATAGAAACCTTAATTCAGCCAGGCTGAATTGAAGATTTCCTATAGAAACCTTAATTCAGCCAGGCTGAATTGAAGATTTCCTATAGAAACCTTAATTCAGCCAGGCTGAATTGAAGATTTCCTATAGAAACCTTAATTCAGCCAGGCTGAATTGAAGATTTCCTATAGAAACCTTAATGAATTGAAGATTTCCTATAGAAACCTTAATTCAGCCAGGCTGAATTGAAGATTTCCTATAGAAACCTTAATTAAGCCAGGCTGAATTGAAGATTTCCTATAGAAACCTTAATTCAGCCAGGCTGAATTGAAGATTTCCTATAGAAACCTTAATTCAGCCAGGCTGAATTGAAGATTTCCTATAGAAACCTTAATTCAGCCAGGCTGAATTGAAGATTTCCTATAGAAACCTTAATTCAGCCAGGCTGAATTGAAGATTTCCTATAGAAACCTTAATTCAGCCAGGCTGAATTGAAGATTTCCTATAGAAACCTTAATTCAGCCAGGCTGAATTGAAGATTTCCTATAGAAACCTTAATTCAGCCAGGCTGAATTGAAGATTTCCTATAGAAACCTTAATTCAGCCAGGCTGAATTGAAGATTTCCTATAGAAACCTTAATTCAGAAACCTTAATTGGATTATTCCTTCAAAGCCTAATTGAAATATTAAAAAACTACTTTTTAAGCTTGTTTTCCTTTTTATATAAAAATTAAAAATATGTAAATAATTTTTCAAAATAAATTTCAAAAATAAAATTATACAAATTTTATGTTTTTAATTTATTTGACTTTTTCTCGCTAAAATAAATCTAGAAAAAAAACTATATTGAAAATGTTTACAACATCAAACGCGCAACTGTAGTTGTGTGTGTGTGGTATAATTTTTTTTATTTATAATTTATTTTTTTATTCTTTTTCTTAAGAAAGCCATTTCCATGAAAGTTATGCTGGTAAATTTAGAAATAAAAAAAAAAAATATAAAACAAAAACAAAGGAAAAATTAATTTAGAATTGTTTTTCTTATAAACAAAATAAAATACACAAATATTCTGTTCTCTTTTTTTTTGTTGTTGTTGTAGATGATGATATTTTCTTGCAGAAAATTTATTCATGACAGTAGTTAGCAGACTTTGGGAATTTTGAAATTTCGCTTCGCTTCTTCTTCATCTGGTGGTGGTTGAGGTGGAAGGAAATCTATCTGGGCAGAGAGCAAATTTCACAGGATGACAATTCACTGCTATTGATAAAGGTGCAATGATTACAGGTCCAGGTGTTGCCATCGATGCCAGAACTTTCCATGGCATTGGATGAGGAGCCACCGGCACCAGCACGATTTGACGAGGATGACGAGGGATAACTTGTGGTGCCCCTAGAAGAGAAATAAAGAAAAGGTAAATTAATTGTTATTGTTTTATTAAATAATAAGCATTTTATCTACTTACCCACTACCACTTGAACTGGCCTGTATCAGCGATTCCAATAATTTCCACACCTCCTCCTTCTTAAAGGCATAGGCCATATTGGGATTCTTATTGCGTACCGCCTCCAGCAGTGGCATCATATGCTGACGCATTGGCAACATATCCATTTTAAACAAATAGACCAGCAAATGAAAATCGGATATGGCTTCAAGGAAATCTTCATCATCCCACTGGGATAGATAGGCGCTCAAGGCGTTAAAGTCCTGCAAGTGACCATCCAAATAACGATTTTCCACGGGGAATGGTTGTCGTTTGTCATATTTGGAGAAAGTGAATTGCGGTTGCAACGGCGTCGATGCTGGCACATCGACAAGTAAATATTCAACGGGTAGTGGACGTGCCAAACGTTGCACCTCATTGCCGTATTGATCTTTTTCCTGGAATAATAAGAAGAAGAAGAAAAAAAGATGTTAATAAAAAAGTAAATAAAAAAATTAAAATAAAGGAAAATAAAAAAGTCTGAAACTCGTCTTTAAAATCAAGAGGTGGTAGAAGAGTTTAAGGTAAGTAAGCCTTGCAAAATTCAATTCCATAAAATCGAAAGATATATAGGGGCTTTGGTGAACATTTACCTAAAATCGGACGAATATGTATGGGAGCTATATCTAAATTTGAACCGATTTATACGAAATTTAACACACATCGTTCTAGACTTAATTCAGTACGCTATGCCAAGTTTCGTGCAAATCGAAGGATATATAGGGACTTTGGTGCACTATTTACCTAAAATCGGACGAACTTTTATATGGGAGCTATATCTAAATCTGAACCGATTTCCACGAAATTTAACACACATCATTCTAGACTTAATTCAGTACGCTATGCCAAATTTCGTGCAAATCGAAGGATATATAGGGACTTTGGTGCACTATTTACTTAAAATCGGAAGAACATATATATGGGAGCTATATCTAAATCTGGACCGATTTTCAGGAAACTTAAAATACATCATTCTAAACTTAATTCCGTACGCTATGCCAAGTTTCGTGCAAATCGAAGGATATATGGGGACTTTGGAGCACTATTTACCTAAAATCGGAAAAATATATATATGGGAGCTATATCTAAATCTGAACCGATTTCCACGAAATTTAACACACATCATTCTAGACTTAATTCAGTACGCTAAGCCGAATTTAGTGCAAATCGAAGGATATATAAGGACTTTGGTGCACCATTTACCTAAAATCGGACGAACATTTATATGGGAGCTATATCTAAATCTGAACCGATTTCCACGAAATTTAACACACATCATTCTAGACTTAATTCAGTACGCTAAGCCGAATTAAGTGCAAATCGAAGGATATATAGGGAATTTGGTGCACTATTTACCTAAAATCGGATGAAAATTTATGTGAGAGCTATATCTAAAATTAAACCAATTTTCAGGAAACTTACCACACATCATTCTAGACTTAAGTCAGTGCGCTATGCCAAATTTCGTGCAAATCGAAGGATATATAGGGACTTTGGTGCACTATTTACCTAAAATCGGAAGAACATATATATGGGATCTATATCTAAATCTTAACCGATTTCTACGAAATTGAACACACATCGTTCTAGATTTAATTCAGTACGCTATGCCAAGTTTCGTGCAAATCGAAGGATATATGGGGACTTTGGAGCACTATTTACCTAAAATCAGAAGAACATATATATGGGAGCTATATCTAAATCAGAACCGATTTTCACGAAACTTAACACACATCATTCTAGACTTAATTTAGTACGGCATGTCAAATTTCGTGCAAATCGAAGGACATATAGATACTATGGTACACTATTTACACTATTTAAAATCGGACGAATATATGTATGGGAGGTATATCGAAATCTGAACAGATTTTCACAGAAATTTAACACACGTCGTTCTAGACTTAATTCAGTACACTGTGCCACATTTCGTGCATATCGAAGGATATATAGGGACTTTGGTGCACTATTTACATAAAATCGGACGAAAATATGTATGGGAGCTATATCTAAATCTGAACCAATTTCTACGAAATTTAACACACATCATTCTAGACGTAATTCATTACGCTATGCCAAGTTTCGTGCAAATCGAAGGATTTATAGGAACTTAGTGCACTATTTACCTCAAATCGGACGAAAATATATATGGCAGCTATATCTAAATCTGAACCGATTTTTCCCACTTTCAGGGTTCGTCCTTGGGCCAAATAAATGAGCTGTGGCTGTACTTTGTTTACAATTTAACATCTACAGACGGACATGCATAAATCGACTCAGTAAGTGATTCTATGCATATTCTCAAAAAGAACCATGGGTCTATCTCGTTTCCTTTTGCCTGTTACAAACATATGCACAAAGACATAATACCCTGTACCACAGTGTGGTGAAGGGTATAAACATATTATTTTCCACTACCAACATAGTCGTGAATTTTTATACTCTACACAACTATGTTGTCAGTGTATTATAGCTTTGTGCAGCCCCAAGAGTTTGTAACGCCGCGAAATATTGGTCCTAGACCCACCTTTAAGTATACCGATCGTCATATCTAGACTGGCTGAGTCGATCTAGACATGTGTGTCCGTCCGTCCGTCTGTCCATTATAATTTGTAAACACGTTACAGCCCACAGTTATGGTGGGTTTTGGCCAATTGTTTTTGTTTTTGGTAAATATCGATTAATATATAGGGGATGAAATGGAACAAAAAAATTTATTTTTGTCTGGTTTTCTGGTCGCTCCACCGCGAATTTTTAAATGGAGAAGGGGATCGGGCCGAAGAATAAGCATGCCTGTTTTGATAGAGATCGGTCAATATATAGCGGGTCAAACGGACCCTGACTTTTGTGTGAAAAATTACAAAATTTGTATTCTATAGCGTATATATTTACCCCTGAATGGCCTAGACCAGATAACTTGGTAGTATATGCAAGAGGTGTGATTGACCTTTAAATTGATACCAATTATATTGTCGTATGTACTCGGATGTGGGAGTTTTACCTAAATATTTATTAAATTATTTATTTATTAAATTATTATTTAAAAACCCATTATCACACTGGAGGGCGGAAATATAGCGCTGATCGTTTTAAAATTTTCCATGAGGATCTAGGTATGGTCTAGGACGGCGCCTATAATTTTCAATGATGATCATATAATAATTTTGGGATGAAATGGACCGAAAATTATTTTTTTTTGTATTTTTTTCGAGTTGGTCTATAGGAAACAATTATCAAAACACAACCCACGGTAAAGGAAATCTAAACCGCAGAAAGTTATAGCTTCGTGATAGTTGTGTAGGGTATCGTATGGTCGTTCGACTATACTGCTCCGCTCACTGGTTTAAAAATAGTTTCTTATTCTCATTCTAAAAACGTCCTCATGGCATATACGCAATAATTCCATAATATTACTCATACGACACATAAACACCCTTTACGAACAATTTGAAATGTCTAATGTACTCCACACCACACTCACATTAAACGACACACAACGGTACAACAAAAACAATACCTAATTGAGTACAGAAATCAAACATACTCTCACACTCAAATACACCAACAGCGTGTGTGCACTCACAGGAATCGGTGCATAAATGTTGTGATGCTGTTCGGCTGTTGTGTGTGTGTGCGTTAATCATTGACATTGGACTTGTGTGATGGGACAACAACGAATAGCCTTGTGAAAGTGTTACAGTTTTTGTTACTATATTTTTGGCTGGCTGGATGACTGGGTGAATTGTTCGGCAATGGCTTTGAATATTTTTGTTTGTTGATGATACCTTGGCCATGAATAAAATAGGTGCATATATGCTACGAGAGAGTGTGTGTGTGTGCGTGCGTTTTTAAAGAGAGAGCGAACGAAGGAATTGCGGTTTAGGATTTTGTAGAGTTACCGATGTATGAAACGTAAGAATAATTTTTTTTCGATTATAATTTTTAAATTCGGAATTTGGGTTTCTTCTTCTTCTAGGTTATCTTCATTTCGTTTGAATTTGGGTATGAAACGTCAGAGTAAAATTTTTGAATTTTTTCGAAATTATGAAACGTCAGAATAAAATTTTTGAAATTTTTTCGAGTATAATTTTTAATTTCGGAATTTGGGTTTCTTCTTCTTCTTGGTTATCTTTATTTCTTTTGAATTTGGGAAAATATAATAATATAAACTTCAGACAATTTTTTTAGTAATTAGTCATTATTTTTCGGTTAAAACTTTTTTGAAGATTTTTTTCTAAGTGGGACAGTATGAAATTGTATGCATTTTTTTTTTGGTATGTTTGTGTTATTGGTCGATTTTTAGAAATTTTGTTGGTTTTTTATAAATAAAACCAGTGAGCGGAGCAGTATAGTCGGACGGGGCTGACCATGCGATACCCTACACGACTACCACGAACTCTAACTTTCTGAGGATGTTTATTCCGAGTCTGAGTAATATTTCGTGATATTTGCCCCCTCTTGTCCGATTAGAGGTTAACAACACCTCTTCCTTACTTTTTTCGAATATTCAGTACAGTCCTTCTAATTACTTGTCCAGATTACCTTCACGGTGGGTTGTATTGTGATTTTCGGATTATACTCTACTCGAAAACAAAAAATTATGTTTTCGGTCCATTTCATCCCAAAATTTTAATCTGATCATCACCGAAAATTGTAGGCGTTGTTCTTGACCATAACTGGAACTTCATGAAAAATGTCAAAGCCATCAGCGCGATATTTCTCCCTCTAATGTGGTAATGGGTTACTGAATAATATCTGAATACGTAAGCACCTGTAAATATTTGACTGTAACTCCCACATCTGAGTAGATACATCGCTATATTTGGTATCAATTTAAAGACCAACCACTCCTCTTGGATATGCTATCTACTCCTGGGGTCTACATCCTCCAGGAGTAAATATGTATGCCATAGAATACAAATTTTGTCATTTTTCACACAAAAGTCAGGGTCCATTTGACCCGCTAAATATTGACCGATCTTTATCAAAACATGCATGCTTATTCTCTGACCCGATCCCCTTCTCCATGCAAAAATTCGCGGTGTTTGGGCCATAATTGCGGCCTCTGGAGCGACCAGAAAAACCGACAAAAATTTAGTATTTGGTCCATTTCATCCCCTAAATATTAACCGATCTTTTCCAACAACAATAGGGGTCTTCATTGGCCAGAACCCATCCTACATGCAAAATTTCGTGAAGATTGGACCATAACTGTGGCCTGTATCGTGTTTACAAATTATAATGGACAGACGGACGGACGGACGGACACACATGTCTAGATCGACTCAGCTAGTCGAGATAAGACGATCGGTATACTTAAAGGTGGGTCTAGGACCAATATTTCGCGGCGTTACAAACATTTGGGGCTGCACAAAGCTATAATACCCTGACAACATAGTTG